TGGGCTGCACCTGTGGCTCAGTGAGTAGGGCGCCAGACCCATATACCGAGGGTGGCGGGTTTGAACCCAACCCTGGCCAAACTGCAACAAAAAAATAGCTGGGAATTGTGGCAGATACCTGTAGTCCCACCTAATTGGGAGTCTGAGGCAAAAGAATCGCCTAAGCCCAGGAGCTGGAGGTTGCTGTGAGCTGTGACACCACAGCACTCTACCAAGGACAATAAAGTGAGACTCTGTCTCTAAATAAATAAATAAGATAGGCACATTACCTTTTAAATTACTGAATCATTTAGTTTTACTGCTCCACAATGCTCCCCCCCTCAAAGTTCTTGCTAGTGGAAAAAAATAAAAATAATCAAATGCTCTCTCCCAATAACACTGTCCTTGACTAAAATCCCAGACATTGGGTTCCATTCAATGTCATACTCTCCTCCAACAAGCCTTCCAGATTAGTTCCTTTTAAAGGAAAACATGTTGTTCACCAGCAGCAAAGCCTGAAAAACCACTGATGCTTTTGTTTTTCCAAAAGTGAAATTTTCGTTATCGTTGTGACTAAAACAAAAGCTATTTCAATAGGCATTAGGCATGTCCCTCTTTGCTGGGAAAGTAGCTATTATAAAACCCTCGCTAGTGTTAGGATAAATGGAAAGATTTTATTTTTCCTCTCAAGACTGTTAAAGTTGATTAAGCATGCATTGGAAAGAAGACCCTGAAGCTTTTGTTTGGCTACAACAAAAGAGAATCTCTAAACTAAGATAAAAAACAAAAAGTTGACTAAGGCACATGTGTGGATTTTCATACCACCATTATGCTTGAGAATTGGAAGGGATCTTAAAGTTTAACTGGCTGAAACTCGTATTTTACGTAAGATAAAATTGAAGCTCCTTGATATGTAAGCTGATTGACCTCAGCTGATACCTTCCCTGGTCCTATTAATGGTCACTTTCACTGGTATTAACGTTTTCCCCAAATCTGCAATGAGCAAAGCAGCAGAGGCGTTTGGGGGAGTTCAATATGGGACGCAGATAAAAAGTCTTCTGTGGCAGCCCATCATTTGAGCTTGCATTTCCTCAAGAAGTTTTTTGTGTGCTTGTTTGTTTCGGGGTTGAAAAGTTTGTTTGTTTGTTTGTTTTAATTTGGAAGCATTCTGGAATTCTCTGCCATGTTTTCTTACATTATTAGCCCAGACCAGAAAAAGTAATGGTTACCTGCGGTGAACCGCCACGAACTCTTTCAACCTGTTATCTTGGTTTGGTTATCACACTATCAGAAGAAATGATGGTAAATTTTCCGGTCTCATAAATTCAGAGGTGTTCTTACAGCTGAGAACCAATACTGCCAAAAGTACATAGCAAGATTTGAATCCATTTCTAAGAAAACCAGACTATGAAATAAATTATGAGGGAAAGGAAAGCTTACCAATATCATAAAAGTGTTTCTGTAGCTCCCTCGATCAACTATTTACTTCCTTTTCACTACAATAAATGAGATAGTTTCGTGCTCAGATTTATAGACGCTATGAGGGATGTCCACTGCAGGTGGCAAGGGCTGCCAAGTGTCTTCTCTGCTTCACTAGAATGCCAGGCAGCCAGAGGAAGTTGACAGTGGCATCCAATACGGATCAGACCCACTTCAGAGACCAGAAAAAGTTTCCTTGTTTCCCCAGATAATCAACTACTATTCAAATCTAGGACTTGCCTGTTTTCCTTTACCCATTTTCAATCTCATTAATGCTACTTCTCTTGACCTAGATCAAGAAGAGGAGGTGGGGACCTCCCTAGGTCTCTAGCGGAAAATGAGCCGCCATTTCCCCCACACTATCACGGATGTTCTGGAGGCACCAAATGCAATCCTGTCCTTCAGATGATTTTATTGACTAGGTGATTAATGAGGGCTAGGATAGCCAAGGGCCAGGTAAAATCTCAGGTCATGTGTAGGCATCTTTCTGGAAAATAAAAAGGGTTTGCAGGCAGTCGAAAGCCCTCTCTAAGCAGTGATGAGAGCAGCTGGCTTGGCTTCTCTGCAAAGGTAACATGATGGTTTCTGGTGAATGCAAGTTGGTGTCTCTGCAGGTCTTGGCTCAGCTTCCTGGAGGCTTCTGGTGTCTACCAGGCTCTTCCTAGTCAATTCTCTCTCTCTGAGGCTGCCTCATACCAAGTTATCCCTTTCAATGCAGGTTATACCCCATTACCTATCAGCTCTCACCACGACACTCTCCTCCTTCCGATTACCCAGGAGACGTGAAAGATGGGGTGTGGAGTGGCCAAGGTCACTTGCCTCTCTTTTTGTCCCTTCCCAAGGCACAAGCTCTGTGCTCTCCTTCCCTCCTGATTTTTAAAAATTTGCTCTATGAAACGTAAAATTTATTAAAATCACTATCACCCACATCAAGCAACAGAACAAAAATAGAACCTAAACGGCTCTTTTATACTCCTTCCAGTCCCCATCACCCGGGGGATAACGATCCTTATTCTAACACTATGTGTTAGGATTGCCTGCTTTTGAACTACAGAAAAATGAAATTATATAGTAGGTACCCTTATTGATGGTTTCTCTTACTCAATATTTTTTGTGTGAGAATCATCCATGTCATCACAGGTAGTCAGTTCAAGAAACTGCCTTTGAAGTTAAAGAAAGTTCATTAACTGTCTTTTCTACTTGCATTTTTTGTACTGATCCGAAATCTGTAGCGATGTGAAGACTTATGGTAAAGAGAGGAGGACGGAAAAGCACAAAGAAAAGCCAAAATTAACATTTCTAGGTTTTGTTGTCTAAGGGTACAATGTTTAAAATATCAGTTTAACTTAGTTGGGAATATACACAAAATGACATAGAGAAATCTCAGGAGTGTTCAGCCAAGTCAACAAGACAGACAGGAGAGGCTCTCAGTGGTTCTCAACCTTCCTAGTGCCGCGACCCTGTAATACAGTTCCTCGTGATGTGGTGACCCCCCCACCATAAAATTATTTTCTTTGCTACTTCATGACTGTAATTTTGCTACTGTTATGAATTTTAGTGTAAATATCTGATATGCAGGATGGTCTTAGGTGACCCCGTGGAAGGGTTGTTTGTCCCTCAAAGGGGTTGCGACCCACAGGTTGAGAACTGCTGGCTACCTGCTCTACAATTCCATTTATATAAAAGAAGCAAGAAGACTGTGGAGCTAGAAAACAGATCTATATCTGCCAAGGGCCAAAGCTGGTGGTGGGTGGGAAGCCTTACTGCCAATGGAGCGTGATGGAAATCTCCAAGCGATAACAATGTCTTACTTCTTGATTGTAGTCATACATGTAATTTTTCAGGTGCCATTAATAGTTGTATAAAAATGACAAACTCCCTAGAAATAAATGTTTAAAAGAAGACATTTATGAAATGAAGACAATAAAACTTTGCTAAAAGATTTTATAAGGATCAGTAAGAAAAAGACAACCAATGTCTGGAAAGACAGCCAGAGAAATGTACAGACATTTCACAAAAGAGAACACTCTTCTTTAAACATAAAAGGTCCTAAAATGTTTTTTTAAGTTTGAGCTTATTAATAATCTGGGAAATGAAATTTTAAAACATTATGATAAATCATTTTACAGCCATAAGGACTTAAAAATTTTTCAGATCAGACAATACCACAGTTGGCAAGCTTTTCAATAATGGGAATTTTTTTTTGCCTGCTGGTAAAAGTATAAATTATCTTAGCAGCTTCAGCAAACAGTTTAGTTTTCTCTATAAACTTCAGTATGTACAAATACCCAGCAGTTTCACTAGAGAAATTGTTGCGCCCTGGGTAAATTCTTACACTGGTTAGCCAGGAACGTGTGCAAAGTTTACAAAAGTTTTATTCATAATAGAAAAAAGCAGAAACAGCCCAAATATCAATCAACATTAGGAGGGATAAGCAGATGACAGAGAAGTCTTATAGTAGGATATTATGGCACAATAAAAAATGAATTACCTGTAACTATCCAGCAACATGAATGAATTTTTCAAGAACACAATATAGAGGGAAACAATAAAGTCACAAGGCAGGCAGATACATCATTTTATTGTATTTATATAGAATTCAAAACCTGGCAAAACTAAGTAATGTACTACTTAGGCGTGCATAGATAGGTATAAAGTTCCAAAGAAAGCAAGGAAATGAACAATGTATAATTCAACACATTTATTGGTTACTGCTAAATAAGAGGAAAGAGTTGCCATCAGCGTGGGACACAGAGAAGGCTCTAAAGAAGAGTGATGTTCCATCTCCTGGCCTTGGCTATATACACAGGTATTCATTTGTGGCCCATCGACAAGTGTGTATTAATTGGCATTCTTTTTGTATACACTATCTATATTTTTACATTTAAAAAATGGCAGATTCCAAGGAACCAAAACCAAGTATTTCATTAGCTTAGGATAGCATCAAGATATCTGAATTTTTGTCACGTTCCCATGGTGATTTTAATAAAAGTAGTCTGTGGCCCACATTTTCCAGTATCTATTATTTCCATAGTTTGAACTCTTCACTCTCGTAACTTGGCAATTCAAAAAAGCTCCAACGTGGCTCGGTGCTCATAGCTTTTTAGGGCGCCAACCACATACACTGAGGCAGGCAGGTTCGAACCCAGTCTGGGCCAACTAAACAACAACAATTGCAAAAAAAAAAAAAAAAATAGCTGGGCATTCTGGCAGGCACCTGTAGTCCCAGCTACTTGGGAGGCTGAGGCAAGAGAATCCCTTAAATCCAAGAGTTAGAGGTTGCCATGAGCTGTGACAGCACAGAGCTCTACTGAGGGCCACATAGTAAGACTCTGTCTCAAAAAAAAAAAAAAAAAAGCTGCAACATGATTAAGGAGGCAGTTTATATTAAATAACACACAACCCTTCCAATTCCAGAAATTATTATTTTACTACACACACAAAAAAAATCTAGACATTCACAAAAGAAAGTCAGAAGAGGTTTCCTTTTTAGAGCACATTTGGAAAATGTCTCACCAGTCTGCTGAACCCATATGAAGCCACATCTCCGTACCAGACTAGTACCATTCCGGGAAGAAACCCAGTCAACCGTTTCACAACAGGTTGAGGCATTTAGTACCTGAAAGTCAACCTAGCGCTCTCTCTATTTATTATTTGCCTATAAACACATAAAACCCTGGGATCTTTACAAAACATGAAATTATTATCAATGAACTTAGGAATAAAAATTTGTTAAAGGAAATAAAACATAAGAAAAATGACATAGCTCAGCTGTCAGTCAATATTAATGTAAAATTTTCCTAAGATACATTAAATTATCACAGTCAGTACAGGCAACAGCATTTAATTATTTGAAACGTCTTATTTTAACCAAGCAACCTTGCTATGGCATAATTCTATTTTACATATGTACAGGTTGTGTTACTGTCCATGCACATCAAGGAACTTGTTCCATCTCAATAGAAGTGACCGCTTTTCAGGCAGGAAGTTTCCCTGTGGCTTCCCTTGCTGGCAGCACAGACATGGGTGGTCATTTCTTTCCATGTTCAATACATTCAGGGAAGTCTGAACTCCAAGGTCACCGTTTTCCTCATGGAATGGTGAGCAGTGTTAAGGATTTGGACTAATAAATAATGTCTCTGGTTCAATATATCAGACGTTCGCTACACTTTTGATTTCTGTGCTTCCACGAGACTGTATGACCCTCTCATGTTGGCTCTTCTGGCAAAGTAAACGATCATTCCAATGGCGGGTATGATTAAGGAGGACGCGCAATAGAGCATGAGAAGCGCAGGGTGAAGCGTGGTGTGAGTTTCTCTCTCTGGAAAAGTAACAAAATGGATACAATTAATGTCTAGTGCAAAAAGAGTTCATTTAATAATAACCATAGTTACACGTGTTATTATGATGGTACAACTAGCTCCCTAAGGAGAAGTGAATCAAAACAGAGATAAGAACCAGCAAGGCCCCAAATGCACATTTCTCTGAATTATCCAAATAATTTAAACATGCTGCATCGATATGGATGGTACACTAAGTGGTAGTTCTTCTGTTTCTCTTGTTTTCCTTTCGATTTCATCAATTATCTTTTGCCTTTCTGTTTTCCCCTCAGCCAAAACCAGAAATTTCCTGCTAATTCAGTTGCCAGGGAAACCTCCACATACAATTTTTTATTAGTTGTATAAACACTGAATATCTTAAAGGCCATTTCTATCAAAATACATTCATGCCAAAGCAAAATGAGACAAAAAGCCCAGGCAAATACGAAGGAACGCTGGCTTAAAAATACCCAGAAAATTATCAATTTTTGTTGTTGTTGTTGTTGTTGTTCTCTATTTATTTTAAACTATATTCAGATTGGGGGCACAAATTTCTGTATATTTCTATATATTTCTCTCTATATTTTAAACTATATTCAGATTGGGGGCACGCATTTCTAGCCGTGTGCCTATTCTTTGATTGTTCATTTAAATATTAGGTGAAAAGTGGCAAGCATGTTAATGCTTAATTTAATAAAGCAATGAGAAAAGACAACAATGGCAGCGGAGATGTGCCTTTGATGTGACTTTAGTAGAGAACAGTCAAGTACAAACAGAACTGCCAAAAGGTCAGGAGGCCAATTTCCTGGAGCAGGACTTTATAAAAGCTGGCTGGGAGTCATCCAGGATTAGGGAAAATCGGAATGAATATATTTTAACCTACTCATAACTGAGATCTCAATCTGTCCAGAATCAGCCCCAACCTCATTGGAGGCACTGATTACATATACGCCTGTGTCATTCTGAGTCACATGATGCAAGGTGAATGTTCCATTCTTTGAACACATAGGAACTCCATCACCCAGACCAACTCTTTTCAGGATAATCACTGCAGGTGGATGACTAAAAGTTTTACATGTAATGGTGATATTTTCTCCTTCTGTAACATTTCTAGATGGATGTATTGATATTGTCATGTTTCGAGGAGGTACTGTGAAGACAAAACATATGGTAAAGCTGGCAATTTTCAGAGATTTGGCCAGATAAGTAATTTTTTTTATCAGTTTCTTGACTTAGGTTCGAACTTTCTCTACATTGTCAAGTGACTGCTGTTTCAGGCCTTGTAAGAGTTGGCATTTATTTACAGTTCTAATTGCCTGCTGCTGCCAAGCACGGCTTCCAATACACAATAGGAGCTCATTAGCATGCAAGCAGCAAGGAACTGATTAGCCGGGGCGGATGCATCCTCCTGCACCAGTAAGATCAACACATTCTACCCACTGTGCATTCACCAGAGGAGTTAGGAGATCAAGGAGCTCCTCGAGTTTGCTGCATCTGATTATTATCCTGAAAAAAGTCAATCTAGAAAATATGCAGTTACTCTATGTCAAAAAAAATAGTATTCCTTTCTGGAAGGAAGGAAGAGGATCTGGATAGGCGCCTTCTTTTCCTATATGCCAATCCTACTTCTCTACTTTCCTTAGTATCCCCAGGGACAGGTTTTAAAAATATGGCTAAGTGCTTAGCAAACGCAAGATCTCAGAGCCAGTGATGAATTTTACACTTTGACAAAAGCTAATGGGAATTCCATACTCACCCATGATTTATGTCAGCTTCCTCCCTAACTTCTATAGGATAGAGCCGCTGTGCTTGATTATTTCGAGAAACATTAAGAAATAACCACAAGCAACAGGGAATTCAGCCCCATTCACCTCTCATGCGTCTACTACTAGGAAGTCCTTACAAGCTACAGAACCTCTAAACTATTATGAAAAAATAAATAGATACATAAAAACAAAAATAAAAAAAAAACTAACCTTTAACAGCAAGTGTTAAACTTTTTAATTGTGAGCCAAGCTCATTTTTGGATTCACATTCATAAACCCCAGCGTCTTCCAGCTGGGCCTTGCGGATGATATATGCGCCATCTATAGATTTTAGCACTGTGTCTCCTGTCTCTGCCTTCTTTTTCAGGATTATCCATGTTTCTGGAACATTTCCACATGTACAGGAGATAGTGACAGAGTCTCCTTCTTTGATACTCTCAGAGGGAAAAGCTGTAAGGTTTATGTCTTTTGGAGCAACTGTAAAGAGAATTTAAAAGGTATCCCTGATTGAGTGCAATGTAAGTCCGTTCCGTACTAATGTATAACATCAACAAATAGCTGCCAAAGAGCTATCTGTGCCTTTTGTTTGCATCTCATGTCAAGAAGGGCAAGCAAAGAAGCCAAGAAGTTGGAAACTATCATGTTGTAATAAGAGAAGGCATGTTATGCGTCTCTTGTGCCCCTTAATGTAATTCTTTTACACAGTGTCTAATAAATAGCTATGGGATTTGTATGTGAGAAATAAAATTAATTTTCTGTCACACTGTTGTGCAAAATTCTCCCTCCAGTACAAAGACCTTTACAGGCTTCTGAGTTTTGACCTGGATCCTCCCTGATCAAGAAATTAAGCTGCATGAAGATGGCTTATTCAGCATCCTTAACAAAACCACTACCATGTACCAAGTTCTAGGCACTGGGTTAAGTGCTTGGCACATGACATCTTTATTAGTGCAACAACCCATTGGCAGAAGTACCACATCAACATTTTTTAAATGAGAATTCTACTAAGGTCATCTATTTTGGGGATCTGATTTAAAATTCTTTCATTATCTAAGGCTGTGGCAGCCATCTTTTTTTATTTTTGTTTTGTTTGAGGTTGTGCATTGCCCTTCCAAGATTATTCCTTTAAATTGCAAATCTCATTGAGATGACGTAATAAGAATGTCTTAATATCATTATCTTAGTGCAAATAATACCCAAAGGGAGGATCTAAGGGCAAATCCAAATTGATTACTTCATGACTGACTTTGACTTGCCTGATAGAAATTTTAGCTTTGAGTCTCCATCCTGGAAAGAGGGGCTCTAGATCACCAGACTAATGAGCCTGAGGACACAGTCACTGCTACTCTTGAAATTTGCAAAAGGTGTAAGTGTTATCTTAGGCTTCTGAGCAAATACTAGTAGGCACCTTGGGAGATTGCTGCTTGGGGTCCAATTAAAGCCAACTATTGTGGCTTTCATCCTAAATAATTCCCAAATACACATATACCTCTCCCCATGTTTATTTCCACACCATGATCATTGCCTGGTAAGGGTAACTGGGGCCACTGGCACAGTTCCCAGAGCTAACATTTCACTTGAAGTTAGAAGAATTTTGGGATAAGTAACTTGTAATTTCAAGAACCTCCCAGGCACAGGAAATAATCAGGAACTCTTCAAAAGCCTCAATATACTTTTATAGTAAAAATTTTGTTTTCAAGGAGGGCTTTGTTCATAACCAGTAACACAACTGAAAAGACACCAGCAATGATAATTCATCCATCACACTCGGCTCACCTTGGATAATTAATTCTACTGCTTTTCTGTTTGTTCCAGCCTGGTTAATCCCATCACACACATAAATTCCAGAATCTTCCTTTTTTGTAGAATTTAAAGTAAGAGTTGCATTCTCAGAAAGAGGCTGAAGAGCCCCATTGTTTAGCTGTCTGCTCCATAGGATTTTTGGAGCTGGAAGGCCATCGCTGGAGCATGTCATGGTCACAGAACTGCCTTCTTCCAAGATGGAAGAGGGGCTGACCAAGATTGTTGTATCATTGGGGGCAACTGAAAAGGTAGAGATACTTATTAGCTTGACTCCTTGTACCCTGAGTCCCAAAGAGTTTTAATAACATTGCAAAACTGGGCTACAGGTTCAACGGATTCAAAGAGTTTCTGTCCTGATTTACTTTAGCAGATACAGAATGAAAGAGCAGAATATGGACACAGCATGGATGTTTTCTGACGAGAGTAAGTTCTACAGAAACTCTCTTGTTACCAAAGAATGGATGGTCCATGATAGTGTGTATTGCCTCTTAGTAGATTAATCATGACCATGAATTACTTGAATCTTCTCCTGTGAAAAGGTATGTTCTCCTTTTCCACCCCTTGACTCTGAGTTGGCCTTGTGACTCATTGTGACCAATATAACATGGAAGCAGTAACACTGTAGGACTCCCACACCTTGACCTTTAGGAGGCTACTTTTATTTTTACCTTCTTGAAACACTGCTCTGTGATTAAGTTAAAGATGATGAAAGAAAAGCCATGATACCCTGGCTAAGACCCCAGATTTGTGAGTGAGGTGATCTGAGATGAATTGATCTTGCTAATCTTTCTAAAATGCTTATGGAAGCTCAGCTGATACCATATTGATCTAACTAACAGCCAGCTGGCCCCTTTCCAAATTGCCAACTCATACAATCATGAGCAAATAAATGGTTATTATTTCAAGTTTTTTGGGGGGGGTTCTTATAATCATTATTATATTGAAATTTCTTTTCAGTTATTTTTTTTTCCACAGAGGTTTTAATTGTTAACTTTATTTAACTATTATTTGGCAAACATGGCAAAGAAATCTATATTAAATTGTGGAAGCAACACATGTGTACTCACCATTGACAAAAAGTGTCTGTGTACTCTTCCTTTGTTTGGGTTCAAATTCCAGTCCATCAATTTGTAACTTAGCCTGACAAACAAGAACTTTTCCAGTATCTTCAGTGGTGGGGATGAAGGTCATTTCCAAACTTTTGGTCTCTAGGGATTTTCTATCCAGTTCCTCCAAAAAGTTTTCATTTTTCAGAATAGTATCTCCCTTAAGTAATTCAATCTCCAGCCGGTCAAAAGGATATACATTAGGAACCTTGCAGGTTACAGTGACAGGGTTTCCATTCACTAGCAGACCACTCATTTCAATTTCTGGATCTCTAGAGAATGCTGCAAATATCAAGCAAAAAATGATGTTTGTAAATAACGTTCAAGGCAAAATTGAGCTAAGCCCTATCAACTATAAAGGTCCCAAAATGACAGCTTTAACTCAACTTGAATAGAATGATCACCAGTAAATAATGATGTTAAGAATAAATACATATTCATGATATTAAATATAAATAATGTTGGAAGCAAAAATTACATCATACATTATTATCAAGTAATAATTTTTTTACTTGTTTTCTCTTATTAGTAATGAAATCATGTTGAATGCCATGGCCTGATGTTTGCTAAGAACACATCAGCTTCCACCATCTTACTTAGTAACACTATATATTTGATTTATTTATATTTTTTTAAGTAAATTTATTTCAGGTTAATATAAGGGTACAAACCTGGTCACAATATTTGATTTTGTTAAGGAAACTCCCTCTTGTGGTTATGTCCCACACACAAAAGGTGTGCCAATATATTTTAAATGTTTTAAATATTTGCCATGATGTATTGAATACTTAATATGAACAAGTATCTTAACATTCCATTATCTGAGTCTTCAAAGTGGCTGGTTAAAATGAGTATTATTTGTTTCATAGCTCAGAAGACTGAGATGTCATAAAGACTAAGAGATTGTTTAGTATACATCATACCAAGAAAGTCACTGGACTAAGCTCACAATTGTGTTGTTTCCCTGACCTGAGAGCCCAGGCGTGGCTTCCCAAAGCTGGGTAGCCACGTGGTGTCAAGTGAGACTCACAAGCATGTCTCAAATTAGATAGTTTAAATTCTAATGACTAAATTTATGCAGCATGTTTTAAATATTTCTCAGATAATATCTAGAATTATGAAAACAATTGTCTTAAATGTGTTATTTAGAATCTAACCTGAGATTTGTAATCTAAATAATAATGTTTATAATATAATCTATGCAAATCAACAAAAATGAGGTTAAAATAGTTATCAAGGGCAATTATAACACTAAACAATTTTCTTTCTTAAGCAAAATGTTGTTCAAGTGATACATTCTCAAATAGTTTCATAGTGCCGTAAGACTTTACTGCTGGGTCTCATTTCTGTTGGGAATGTGTCTACATCAGCAGATCATGGACTCTGGGTAATATGATAATGCACATAAAATTTACCCTTATTCTGAGAGATTCAAATCCCTTTATGGACATACTCTAACTCATCCTCAACAAAATCCCGAAGGGTTTGGGCAAGGATTCTGGTGGAAAAAAATCTCTACAGTATGTTCTCTGGAGTTCCACTGAATAAAATAAGGCAAAATAACTCTCCCAAAGACACAACTTTGTTGTCACTTTGCATATTTTGTCCCTTAATCATGATAGGCTGAGGAACTCCAGCAGTGTTGAATTCATAGAGAATTGAGCTTATAAATACTTTTTTAAAATGTTGACTCAAAGTGCTTTCATTAGCTCGGATAAAAAGCTCAGTTACCTTAACCTACTTGTAAATACTTTTTATTAAAGTGACAAGAAGAGCACAAAGTGTCACATTATATGTACTCAGCATAACTCAGCACTGAGACCCAGAGCTGCCTCCTGATCCTGCTCGTTACCTGAGCGGCTCCCACTGAGTGTCCCCACCCCCAGTCTAACTACTCATCTTCATTCTTGGCTTTCTCCCTTCCTCCTGCCTCATTTTCTTCCCATCCTGCAGATCAGCTTTCCAAATGTGCCTTTAAAACAGTGGGCTCAGGCTTCACCTCCAATTTGGAGAGTTGAGCAGCTGTCACTCCCAGCCAGCCATCCCGATGGGCACTGACTCCACTGCCTTCACCCTCTCTCTCCACCCCATATGGACATGGAAGGGACGGAGGGCAGGGAGTGTATCCAAGTGCACAGGGACAGAGTATTAACATGATACAACTTCACCAGTGCACGCACAGTAGGATTAAGGATGGTATGTAGACATGTAATGCGTACTTAACATTTAGGCCCATTGTGCTGCATCACATCATTCTGGTTCAGAGATTTAGGAACCATTCACAATGCTTACTTCCCTTTCTAAATATATGGCGCTCACTGTATATCATAGACTCACATCCTTTTCCTTCCAATGGAATTAAAAACAAACAAACAAACAGGAAACAATTCGTTAAGCCACTTACAGTAGAGCTCCACCTGGATTTCCTTTTCCAGTCTCCTACGTCCACAGGTCACTGTGCACAGATAAGAGTGTTCATTCTCAAAACTCACAGGGCTCAGGGTCAGCGTGGACTTGGTCCCCTCACTCTTCAACTTGCCACTCAGAGGGCTGTCTATCTGTGTTCTCCAATGGAAAGACGGGGATTCGCAGCCCGTGACGCCACATGTCAACACAACCGAGTCCCCAATCTGAGCAACAATCCGGGGTCCAGGGGAGATCTGAACAGTAAAGGGTTTCTCTATGGGAGGGAAAAGGAACAAAAGGAAAAGAAAAGAACATTCTTATTTATTCTTAGGGTATGTGAAAATCGTATATTCACATTTCAATATATGATTTTTATTTTTCCTGTTCTCCTTTCAGGTATTTGTGCCAAGAAGAAATGACTCCTCTCCACACTGGGCCTGGCAGGAAAAAAGACCTTCATCTTTTAAGAATGAATCTCTGATAGTCTGTTGATTCTTTCACTTAACAGAATAAATGTAGATAAAAATTTGTCAAGACAGGTTGACATCATTTCATAGCAATAATCCAAATGCAATTTATCAAATCACTGCAGCGGTGGACAAGAGCTCAAATGATTTAAGCGGTTCTTGTGTGTCAAGAATTACATAAACTACTTTCTCCTCTTTCTTCTTCTCCCCTTTCTGGGTTTTATTCCCTCCTTCTCCTTCCTGAGGGAATTTGGGCTCAGGAATGCTAAATAACTGTACCCAACTTGCAAAAGGCAAAATTAGGACTTGATGCCGGGTGAGACTGATTCAAGATCTTGGCTTTTCAGTTGCTGGAACAACTAAATCATGTCATCCTTGTGTGGAGGTGAAATAATATGTAAAAGAGGTCCTGGGGAAAGCTACACACCTGAGGTGTCCTCTAATTAAAAACAATCCCCGTAACAGACCAGCACTTAGGGCTTCTGTTCAACAATACAAAATTGTACCATAAGACTCACACTGAAAGCAAAGTAAAAATCTAAGCACTAAGGTGATACATAAGTCACCTCCAAAATTTGCTTCATGTAAGATAAACCACATCACAATTAATGCAGGGGCTGATGGCTGAGATGTGAGGGCAAACTCTCATGTGTCAAGTAGCCAGGAAGATTCTTTGGCTGTCGGGGCTCTCCCTGCTAGGCACACTCCCTGTGGTTTAGGGAGAAAGGGAATTCTAAGTCTTGACTTTATTCTCCCTAAAGTGGCTGGTAACTCTGAAAGTGACAGATGAAACTCTGCAGAAAATCACTACCCTCTTCCTCATAAATAGCAGGCTGGAGACAGAAGAACTCTCAATCAATCAATAAATAATCCAGATCAGCTATGTTTTGTCCAATTGTGATATCTTAGTATTTGGGGGGAAAAAGGATCTCATGAAATAACCTCCATAAACCAAAGTGTGAGTAGATTTTGAGAAAGAGATCATTCAGCATAACCAGAGTTTCTGAATCCCTTATGTGCTGTAACAGGATAAGAATGGCTTCTCAGATCATTCTTTACAGTGGGTCTGTATATTACCATGAGAACTTGTAACTCTTTTAGGTCACTGAAAGGTCCCTTGAAAGTTCAATTCTACCTTCAATACTTAAGGTCATTAGCATCCCATGTGATGCAAAGGGCAAAACAACTCTCCCCAAGCCCAGAACACATTTCCTGTGCACACTGAAAGGTGATGCAGCTTATTTAGGGGATAGAGAACTATCCCAGGATGGAGGACAAGATTTGCACACTTTTATTAGTGGAAAATTTTTCCTGGTCACTTGAGAATGCTAATAACACTGAACTGAGGTCATTGACTGATGGTGAGTTTGAATTATTTAATCATCCAAGATTAAGTTTCGTGTTTTCTTGTTTGAAAAATGGATGCTGCCCATGCTTATAATGGATTCATTAATTCAACAAACATTCACTGAACACTTATTATGTGTCAAGCATTGTGCTTGGCACCCAAACAGTAAAAAAAAAACACACACACACACAGGGTTCCTGGCTTTACTTAGCTTAAGGCCTAATAGAAAATAGAGAACTGATAGAAAGACATGGTTAAATAGATAATGTTATTTTTGCTGTTCTGGGATGTGTTTAAACCTGCCTGTCTTTGCTTGCTAGTTTGTATTCTCCCCCAGGGCAGTTGCCACTTCTTATTCATGTCTCGACGCCCAGCATCAAGCACAATGCTTTGATTCTTGGACAAGGGTCCTTAATTAATATGTATTGAATGGAGCAGAAAATACCCCATGCTCTCACTTCTATGTGGAATCTAAAAATGTCAAACTCAGAGAAGTAGAGAGTAGAAGAGCAGTTACCAGAGACTGGGGGTGTGGGGTGTTAAGGAACAAGGAGATGTGAGTCAAAAGTTGCAAAGTTTCAGTTAGATAGGAGAAACAAGTTTTAGATACCTATTGCACAGCATGGCGGCTACAGTTAATAATAACATATGTTTTAAAATAGCTAAAATAGCACATTTCAGATGTCTCATCACAAAAAATGATCAATGTGGTGATGAACATGTTAACTGGTTTGATTTAATCATCCCACGTTGTATACTTATATCAAACACCACATGGTGCGCTATAATGTACACAATCCTGATTTGCCAATTAAAAATAATATCAATTCAAAAAAGAAGTAATAAAGGCAATTAGCTGTAATAAAAAGGCATATGATTTAGATTAAAACCAGCCTGTATTAAAATAACAGAAAATGCAACTAAAGAGCTTTTTAAAGTAGGCAAATTATGGACTGTGCTGCACCAGTGGTGAAGATTATTGAGATTATATATATAAAGAAGAACGTAGGATTCCTGGCAAATACTAGGTGTGCTATCCGCAAGTAGCACTCTTATTAATCTGTGAGACTCCATTCTCTCACCATTAAAATAGATAGAAAATGTTTACTCTTTAGTTAACTCTGGATGATGACAGATGGCATATAGGAAGTTCCAGAAACACGGCTGGGGTTCAGTGAATGCTGCTACTTAAGAGCACGGTGCCTGAGTCCAAGTGAGAGGTGATAAACGAAGACAATCACAGGAGGGCCGAAGGATAGTTCATATTCCAGGGATCTTTGTGAGGTAGAACCGGCAGGATTTGGTGACATGGGATGAAAACATGAATTTGGGAGTAGTCAGCTTTATTGTCGTCCAATTCTTAGGAGTGTGGAGTGAGAGGAGAAAGAGGAGCACATGTGCAGACCTGAAAAGTCAATATCCAATATCTGGGAGGAAGAGAGAAAGCCAGAGAATAAGACAGGGAAGAAATGCTGTGAGATGGAAGAGAATCACACAAGCAGGGCCACGGAAACCCTGGGGGGGGAGACTCCAGGAGGTCTGAGTAGGATATGTACATATTTGTACTAAAGGGTATGACAATCAGAAGTGTTGTCCCAGAACCTTAGGGAAGCAATTCCAGCAGGGAAATGGTGTCCCGATTGCTCAAATTCCAGTGACAATGTCTTTATCCCTCCATCTTCACAGTTTACTCACCTTGAACAATTAATTCCACTTCTTTTCTGTCTTTCCCGATCAGATTAATGCCTTCACACGCATAAATTCCAGAATCTTCCATCCTCATAGCAATTAAGGTGAGAGTTGCATTCCCAGAAAGGAGCTGTAGCTTTCCATCATCTAATTTCTTGTTCCAGAAAATGTGTGGAGCTGGTTCACCCTCACTGGAACAAGTCATTGTCACAGAGCCACCTTCCTGCAGAGTTGTGGAGGGATTCACAGAGATATCTGTATTCTTGGGTGAGACTGAAAAGGAAGGACATGATGTTAGCTATTGCAACAGGGCCGGTGTGTTGCATTTCTCTCACCGACTGCGTGCATGGGCTTCTGCAAATAGGACGAACCTACCCTGCCAAACTACTGTGAAGAATTGCTGAGTTATTAAAAATAGTGAATCTAGTTTCTGACTACGCTCACTGATTTACCTGTTTTGATATTTTGTGCTTTCAGATGGTCATAGATACTTAGAGATTAAGAAGCCCCATGTGGCTCCAACTCCCATCTCAGGGTAGGAGTCCCATCTAAGCATCCTCACCATGTGCTGACCCAAGTCAGCCTCAACGTTCACTCAGACAGTCAGCCCACTGCCTTACAAAACAGTCAGTGTGATTTGGGGGCAGCTCTCATTCTTAGCACAGTTTCCCTATTGAGCTGAAATCTTCCTCTCTATAACTAGCTTAAATGTACAGGTCATACATACTTTAGCCATCTACATTACAAAATAATATAAATCACTCTTTCACACAACTGTCGTTCAAATGCTTAATAGAGTTCCCTTTCCTAGGTTTTGTATTCTCCAGGCAAAATATTCCCAATCTTGACTATTCTTCTCAAAATATTATTAAATTCCTTTCTGTCTTCTTCTATTTTGGCTAAATATGCTATACAGTTGGCAATACCTCCCTTTGAATTGTGGTGCCCAGAGAAGAACACAGCATTTTAGTCTAGAGAGGCAAACAGAGCCCCTCATACAAATTTCTGGTACTGCAAGGCTGCCTCCGTCTCTGGGTCGTGTCAGGGAGAAGGGAGGTGATCAAACCCCATCACCTTTCCTTCACCTGGTGCACGTGTGTGTCGGCACACACACACAAACACACATAAGCACACAGAGAATAACTGCTCACTTTTTAAGGTTTCTATCCCTGGGCAGCTAACATATCAAGGCTTATTATAAGAATTTACAAAACAAGATTTTAAAAATGTATAATTTGACCAATTTTTCTCCTACCTAATCAGATGGTATTATTCCCCTTTGATAGACAGGACAATAGACAAATGAAGTGACATAAGCTCACACAGTTAATGGAGCCAGAAATTAAACTCAAGTCTTCTCAATTCAAATACAGTGTTCTTTTCACTGAACAATGTATGCTATTGGCAAATATTATGCTCTCCATGAATAAAAAGGGAATAAAAACAACAAACAAGTTTCTTGATGACTTCGTTGCTAAGTTCATTGCTATATTTTATTGCTATGTCCCAGACTGAATTCCCATAGAGACTAGCCTGCATCCCACAAGTACTCACTGTAGACTTGCAGTTCTCTCATAGTCTCCCTTACTTTGGGGACAGAATCAAAGTATAATCTGGCTTGACAAACAAGAGCTTTTCCGGTATCCTCGATGACAGGAGTGAAGGTGACTTCCAGACTCTTGGTTTCCAGGGACTTCTTGTCCACATCCCCCAGGAAGTCCTGATTCTTCAGGAGATGGCCTCCCTTCAGTAAATCCATCTCCAGCCTGTCAAACGGGTATACATCTGGGACCAAACACTTGACCGTGGTTGGCTTTCCAGCCTCCAGAGGGCCACTGAAATGAATCTCTGGATCCTTAGGAAAAGCTGCAGAGGCCAAGCAAATAAATATATAATGGGCGTTTGCTCACTTCTTCCTCACAGTATAATACAATGCAAATCAAGTCTCATGTTTTCATTAATACGGTCTTAGGACCACAGAATTACTTAAATAGTCTTGTATGACTTTACGTGGGTTCAAGGAGCCAGAATTTGAATCAACTATATTTTAGAGGATTCTTCTGTATAGATGGAAGATTATATGTTATTGGAGTAAAAGAAGGAAGAAATAAACCTACTGTATATTGAAACTAACATGTGCCTGTCACTATGCCACCTACTTCTTAGGATGGTTTTATTTTATCCTCATAACAACCCTAAGAGATGAAAACTTGGACTTGGTAGGCTTGTCTAACTTGTGTGAGGTCACAGAGCTAGTAAAAGGTAAAGATGGGATTGAAGCTCAGTGTTTATATTACTCTGTGTTTGCTCCCGCAGTACGTTAGATCACATTCTCTTATTTTAGTCAGGGCAGATATATTCCCATTTTAATAATAGCAAGTGGAAGGCTCAGCATGTCATTGCAAAGAACAGTTACGGAGCAAGATACTCTTAGAAGTGAAAAGACAGATTATAAATAATTGGCTTCTGATCATGATGCCTCTGACAGGAATTTATCCACCAGAAAGAGACACCTGTACAATCTTTACATTCTGAAAGGAAGGTCTGTTTTCTAAAATGCCTAACTTACAGCGCAAGAAAACACACTATTTCAGTCGGCCATTGGCTCTGTGGCAAAGGTTACCTTTTTTATCACAGACTGTCACGATGGCAACACACGGGTGGATTCAAGACTGTGTAGTAAAAAGAATCTTGTAAAGGTCTCAACTTTAAAGAATATCACAATCAAATGTGGAACCGAACTGTTAAGCATGATGAGAAACAGTCACTCTCGGAGAAAAACCCAGGGCAAGATAATGAGAGCCAGATGGATCTTCATTTCTCTAAGTTTTCAACTTTTTGGTACTTGTGGGCAAAAGACAAAGGAACTGGGAAGGCTTGGCTCTGTGACAAACATGGCAGTTTTCATTTCTCCTCCAGTCATTTCTGTCCCTCATAGTTTGTAAGAAAAGTGCCTAATCAACACAGTCTGGTGTCAGGTAATATAAGAACGTGCTACTTTTCCCTATATTTACATAAGGGTCCTTTCAAGGAGCTCAGGAGGCTGCACCAGCATAAACTGCACACACAGCCAGAGTAATTGAAAGCAGCCGGACAAGCATCCTTTCTTGGGAAGCTTTAGCAACATATAGGGTTTGCTGAAGAATCAGTTAAGGCTCCTGAGCAAAGTTCTAATATAGTAGAAAGGAACCAGCATCTTTATAATAAAATAAGGTCTTTTGAAAAAATGAACATAAATGAGCAAAGTTTTTTAGAAAGAGAAGCCGTCAATAACCAAAGACAAATGATCAGTTAGCTTTTTACTTCTCTTGCTACATTTGCTGATCTGCGAACGAGTGGGATGCATTTTGGTAGCTGGTAAATTAGGAGGATTCACCCACCTTCACCAGGCAAAACTAATTTCTTATACAAATATCTCTGAGCACCAAGGCTCTAAGGCACCACCTCCCCCTCCACGAATTCCTAAGTTTATCAGCACCAAGCAAAGCAAAATATTTCCAAAATTTTTGTTGTGTCTAAGGAAAAGACCATTATACAAAAGTTATGATGGATCTTCTGTTTAATTCTGAAACTGATTTCCATCACCAAATTGCATAAGAACAAATGAACAGAGAATTCGAGAAGGTTGGGATTCCTCAATCATTTAGAAGCACGTGCAAGTGAATCTGTCAGGATATGATAAACAGAACTTTAAAAAAAAATGAAATGAAAAGAACCTTCGAGATTTTCATTTTATAGGTAAGGAAACCGAAGCCCGGAGTGGGGAAGTCTTATGCATGGTCCTCGTTTTTGTGGTAGAGGTGGAAATAGAAGCCAAGATTTGGATTCCTGATCTAGTGCCAGCTCCAGCTGTCGCTAGCTTTCTTGGTGCTGCGCGGCCTCACAGCTAAGAATCTGGACATGAATATCCTTTAAGAAACTTTTCCTTACATACCATTTTTTCCAAACCATTTTCAAGCAAAAGTGAGAGAGAACCAAAGATTCTCGAAAGCACTCACAGTAGATCTCCACCTGGATTTCTCTCTCCAGTTTCCCACTGGGTTCGCACGTGGCGGTGCACAGGTAAGAGTGTTCGTTTGCGAAACTAACAGGATCCATGGTCAGCGTGGACTTGGTCCCCTCACTCCTCACCTTCCCATTCAGCGGGCTGTCTATCTGGGTTCTCCAAGAGAAAGACGGAGCCTCACAGCCGGTGGTGCTGCAAGTCAATGAGACGGAGTCCCCGATCTGAGCCAGAGTTCTGAATTCTGGAGTGGTCTCGATTTTAAAAGCTTGAGCTGCAAAAGTAAAAAAGATGAGCGCGAACTTACTACTCGGTGGTCTATCTTCTCCGTTCTGGGGTAATGTCCAAACTAGGATCTGTCTGATCTCTTCCCTAAACTGCTTCACATTAACTGCAAAGCAGCCCCAAAGCGCTGAGGTCCCTGCCAGAGAAGGTGCCGGAATCATCTTCCCCCCGGGAGAGTTCTCAGTACTGACTTTGAAGTCTGTATTGTTATTTGCTGAGTTTGACCTCATTATCAAGTATAGGAAACTAACGAGATAGACCCACCAGAGATAGAGTCCGCACTGCTCATTTGACTTTGGAAGAAAAGTATCAGAAACTATCAATTTGCAGCTCTAACTGTGAGAGCATAATGGCATAAAGCAAAACTCAACAGCAGACTAAAAGCCGGCTTAAATTAATTTTTCCCGCTGTTTAAGATTCTAGAGCTTTGTTCACCAACGTCGCCAAACTGGCTGAAGACAAAACCAGGACTAAAATGGAATGTTAGCGTTTATCAGATCAAGGAGAGGAACTTACAAGCTGCGAGCAGCGTCCACAGCACATTCCAGGCTCCAAAGATCAGGACCATCTTCCCGGGCATTTGGAAGTTGCTGCAGTGATGAGAAAGTAATGGCTCAAAAACTCTGATTTCTGCTCCACCTGAAAGTGCTTGGGACGAGCCTTCAGCCTCTAAAACCAGCGAGGCTCGGCGAGGAGTGAAATAGAAAGTCTGCTTCTTATAAAGGGTCTTGCAGCAGAGGCGGAGGGAAATCCCTTCAAGGGGAAACCCGGGGCAGAGCCAGAGAAAAAAGTTTAACGGACACCCAGCCAAGTCCAGTATTAACCCTTCAGCCGCCCTCAGGGCTGGAAACTACTTTCTCTGTCCTGGAAAAATAAGGAACTTCCACGACTATAAAATGCAGGCATTTCCTAACCTTCAGCTCCAAAAGGATATCTTTACTAGAAAAATACCAGACCGTGTTTATTACAGAATGAAGCTTTCAGAATCTAACGGAGGTAGGGGAGGAGGAAATAGTAAATTAAAAACTTCAGGTTTGGAACCGGGAGAATAACCACCATGCCATGTGAATTTATTAATATTTTCTCCTAAGAAAATATATTGACAATTCTAAAACAGAGATTAAACTTTACAAGAAAAAAGAAAAGGTCTTTTCTTTTGAAGAGTCATTTTTCAAAGGCAAAAAGCATAATTTCTTAGTTTTACATTTTTTAATTTGCAAAAATAGTTCGTGATAACAAACACCAAGTTTTTGATTTTTTTTTAATGGAAAGAAAATCAAGGAATGTCATTAAATATTGCTGCCAAAACAAGGGAAATAGTTTTTTTCTTTTGTTTCAGAAAAGCTGTCAACCCTTGGGTGGCACCTGTGGCTCAAAGGAGTAGGGTGCCAGCCCCATATATGGAGGTGGCGGGTTCAAACCTGGCCCTGGCCAAAAACTGCAAAAAAAGAAAAGAAACAAAGAAAAAGCTAAAAAACTATCAACCCTTTGGTCAAATTGCTAGGTAATTGGAAGTCTTTTGCAGACTTAAATGTAAATATATGAAATCCATCTGATGTGGCAAATCTTGGGGGCTCTGGAATTTAACCACAAGCCCATTAAAACATGAAAAATAATATATTATTTTTATAGGGGTGGGGATGATAACCAATTTTATGTTTTTATTTCCCCCCGTGAAATGGCTTTTTTTTTTTAAGTTCAATTAACTGACTGGTTTGACCTTGCACACATACAGCCTACGTCCTTGCAAAAATGCTTGCCCATCAAAAAGAAACCGGAATAGCCACTTCCTTGTACACAGGCATGTCTACCCCAACTATTGGATCTTCAGTTCCTCTCATGGCCAGGACCAGTTCTTGTTCATTATATCTACTTCTACAATATCTAATGCATGGTTTTGCACTTAGTGGATACAAAAAAGTGCAATCATAGTATAAATTTGGAAAGGAAACTTCTGAAATACTAGCAATAGTATGTAAGTGCTGCAAGAGAAAAATGTTAAATATTACAAGGAATTTCCAAATCTCACAGATTCACAGGGATGTTTACGATGTGTACAATTTCGTAGAGGACACAGGCCAACCATAACTGAGGTTTGGAATCTATGTAGAGCTGTCCCCGTGTGACTAGAGAGGCATCTCAGATACTGACATGGCTTGTACTAAAGGGCGAAGAAACTCTAGGAGGCCGAGGCAGGTGGACCACCTGAGTTCAGGAGGTCAAGATCAGTCTGAGCTAGAGAGAGACTCCATCTCTAAAAATAGCCAAGCATTGTGGTGGTGCCTGTAGTCCCAGCTACTCAGGAGGCTGAGGCAAGAGGATCACTTGAGCCCAAGAGTTTGAGGTTGCTGTGAGCGATGACACCACGGCACTCAACTGAGGGCAACAAAGTAAGAATCTGTCTAAATAAATAAATAAAATAAAATAAAATAAAACAAAGGACCAAGAGAGACAAAGGAGCCCTATTCTAGGGCTGTGGTGATGTGTGTGACTTTACCTATCAAATATCGAGGGATCAGAAAAGTAGATTCAGGCAAATTGCTGGTAGACAATAACCTAGAGTTCATTTACAGTGTGTCATGGAAGAAGATTATCAGCTCCATGTAAGTTTGCCACTTATCTTGGGAACAGATGAATGGGGCATTAAGGAGTTGTGATAGGTTTCCCTGAGACTCAAAGATAAATGACAAAGGCTCCAAAATGGGATCACCAGGACCAAGTCATGATAAATTACTTCAGTTCTGAGTCTGGACATGATTCCAAGCTTGGAACATTGGAGAAAGCCTACTCTACTGATTTAAGTCATAGTGGGCTTGGCAAATATTTGATCAAGTCCCACATTATATCTTTGTGTCAGATGCCCTTGGGGGCCTTAGTTCCTCCCAAGTATGTTGGTTGTGCCTTCCTCTGTGGCCTCACTATGACTGCAGCACACTCATGTAGCACCTGTCAGGCTGCATTTACTTGTTAACCTGTCTATCTCTCCTAATTTTTTAACTCATAGGCTTCATTTTTATCATCTCAGCTTCTAGCCAAAATAAGGCATTTGTGAAAATTTCTGGAATGAATGAGTGAATAAAGTTGCAAGTATAAGATTAACAGATTGAGATTAAGATGTCTGAATAGAATATTACTGGGTTTGGTTTTCTAACTTTTTCAGTAACAGAGAGTACGTGATTATCTAATTATTCATAATGTAAGAGTAGGAAAAATAGATAACTGTAGAGATGACAGAATCAAGGTGAAGGAAACAAAAGATATGAAAATGATCTGAAAAATGAGTAAAATTTAATAGGAATGCATTGATGTCCAGCATTTAAATGTAAAACCTCAAATGCTGGAGTATAATAGGGGAAAGGGGACATTTAACTTGGTCATAGTCCATAGGAAGATGCTAAGGTGGTTTACTTATCCATGAAATGAACATAAGTCAATGCTACCATGAAAAATCAAAATAGTTGTGACAAGCTCAGGTTGCATTCATAGTGACTCAACCCTCTATCAGCTGAGGCCGTGGTCTCCAAGCACTGCACGCCCACCAGACCAAACCAGGAGCAGGCATGTCTGTCTTATTCATGGTGCCATTTCTTAAAAGAAAGATGGAGAAAATAGAGGGTGTCCAGAGAAGAATAATGAGGATGGTAAATAGCTCTGAAGTCCCTACCTACTAGGAGCTGTCAAAGGAACAGGACATGTGTTGTCTGGAAAAGAAACACCTGTGAAGCAAGATGATAACTGAATTATTAGCACCCAGAGGAAGGAATGTACTCGGTTACTCTATGTTATACCAAAAATTTAAAGTAAGGCCTGTGGGTAGGCAGACCAGGAAGATGTTTGTTCACATTAGAGTTTCAGCACTTAACATAGTGACCAGTAAATCGTAGGTGCTCGGTACTTCACTACTGAATGACAAAATAAAAACAATTTGAAAGAGGTGACTCCATGCCCTACAATCCTGAGTTCAAGTCCAGCTACTCCCCTTAGGAATTGTGAAACTTCCCATAAGTATAGTTAGCCTCTATGAGCAAGTTTGCAAATGCTCAGACAGGAATAATAGTACCATTTCAAATGATTCTCATGATATTATGACTATCAAATCAAAACTGATCATATGAAACCTCTTAAAGTAAATATAGTAAGGTGCTACATAATAGCAGGTAATAAAAATAAGATACAACCACAGTAAGTTCATTGTAGAAAAGAACTTTCTAGTTCTTAAATTTTTCAACAATGTGCTGGCACTTATCTTGTGAACTTGCCAGCTAGTAGTCACTGTAAATATTGAAGCAAGGTTTGGATGACATCTTGGAACAATGTGGTAGAGGTGAAGTTTGACCTTATATGAGATATCCATTGGGATGGCCATTAGGTTGCCTCTAGTGCTAGGATTCCATTATCAAGGTCAGTGCTAACCTAACTTCACCAGTCTTCTCCTTGACTTTATCAATGTTGTAAGCAATTCTGATACTACTATAGTTGAGCTCTGAGACACTTCAGGCTTACCTCTTTCAGCCTGTTTGATAACACTGAATTTGTAGCAGCTCCAAAGATTTCACAATTTCCGAGTCATCGATTTATTATGGTTCTCCCTAGAGACGAGTTTCCTGAACATTTTTCTTGAGTGCACTGACACGTCTGAGGAAAAGTGCCATTCCTAGCAGTAATTATGAATTATTTGTGGCAGCAATTCTTGCCCAAATGAAAGGGAGAAAGTAGTTCTCTTTTTTTGGAAAGGCATATCAGAATGAGGAAGAGAAAGTGAAAACCCATTTGGGTAGATTGGACCATGTGAATTCCTCCTCCGTGTGAGAATCCTTACTCCAGATAGATACCAAGGATCTACTCTAGATAGATACCAGGGATCTATGTCTATGAGCCCTGAGATCTGATTTTGATCTGACAGTATGAGTATGCCTTTATGTAACAGAAATCTTTCACAACAGCCTAATTAAATAGACATCTACGGGCCTTCAGATCAAGGCTAAACCAACTACTTGAGAAAAAGATTGAGGACCAAGACTGACTCTATTTCTAGTTTCATCATCCTTACATGTGACTAACCCTTGTGATCTAAGATGACTGTTTCATCATCAAACATTACATCTGTATTTCAGACAGAAAAACAAGGAAAAAGTGAAAGGCAAGAAGTCAAAGCCAGTAAAATCTGTCCTCTCTTAAAGAACTCTCCAAGAAATTCCATGCAGTGACTTCCACTCATGACTCATTGAAATAGTGGGGGATTGACTATTTTAACTAAATACATTGTTTCCACCTCCAAAAAAATCAGGATTGTGTTCATAAGAAAAAGAGAAAAAAAGATGATGAGTAGGCAGGTGATTAGCAGCATCTGCCACAATTTCCTAATTCACTACAATCCGTAGAAAGTTAATTGAGAAACTACTCTGTAGATAGCAGGACTAGGGATCTATAAATGAAGACATGGAAACAGTTCCCATATCGGAGTGATTAACTGTGTGGTTATCAGTACGGAACTTTCACACAGTTCAACTTGTGACTCAGAAGAGGAGCCATTCATCTGTAATCAGGAAATAAAATGTATTTTAGCAAGCTGATCTAAGTTGGAGATTTTCTGGAATGCAGACTACAGGAAGGACCATGGTCTGATAAGAAGTCTATTTCATCATGAATTTGTTGTGACTTTCTGGAATGTTGAGGAAAACGCTGCTTGTTATGAAGAGGAAAATCTGTTATGTAATAACACACACACAGGACAAGTGATTTACTGAATTTTAATATAACACTAAATTGCTGCATAAAATAATAATAGGAAGAA